TGGGCTACCCCGCCCCCCCCCCCCCCGCCCCTTGCGCAGTTGTTCGCCTGGAGCCCCTGCGAGCTAAAGGCCCGGCCTCCCTCCCTCCCTCCCGCGTCCCGGGCGTTTTAAATGGCTTTTCGCGCGACCCTTGGCCGCCCCCTGGCTCGGGCGTTCTGCGAGCGCAGTTCTGCTGCTGCTGGGAGCGAAGCCCTCCTGGATTCCCTACCGCGGACGAAAGGCCCCCCGGCCCTCTTTGGACTCTGGGGAGAAACGACTCCATTGAAAACGCCCCCTCCCCAAAGGGGAGTCTGACTGAGCCAGGCTTGGCCAAGATGGGGCGCCTCTCCTCCCAGCGGCCCCCGGAGAGCCAGCCTGTCCTCCACGCCCCTGGGCCAACCGGGGTCCAGCCCAGGTCAAAGCATTTCATTGTGCCGTCTTGAGGAGAGCATTTCCTACCAGCTATTTTTAAATATCCTCAGGCATTGAAAAGCTGATCGCGCGGTTTCCCCCCCTCGGCATCTTTCCTTTCTCTTACTCAGAGTCCCCCCCTGCCCCCAAGGCACAAAGAAGGTCCCGGTAGGCCGCGAACCCGTTTCCTTCAGGCCCGGAGGCGGTTCCAAGAGGGCGGCTGGAGAAGGGGCTGCGGGTGGCTGGGGAGGTGTGAGGCTGAAAAGTACGCAATCGGAGAGTGATTTCAGCAAAGCGTACTTTATTCTATCCGGAACAAGACAACTTTGGCCGGCTCGCAGGCCGGCTTATAACCCCGAGAAACCGCCACCCAAAACACACCCCTACTTCCCTATAGGTTATTTACAGTGGCCAGAGTCCCATAGGCTCTAGCCCCCTGATTGGAGCGGTCTAGGATCCGCATAGTCCATTGTCTCTTGGAGCGAAGCTCGTCGTTTGTCTCTGGATAACAACCAAATGAGGCCAAGGCAAAATCTAATTCGATGTAGTAGGTATTTCTCGGTGATTGTCCGAGGGAGCGCAATGCCACCTGTCTGGGGTGCTTTATTCTTTCCAGGCAAAACTGTGACCCGCGCAAAACAGATCTGAATTCGCAGTCCAGAATTATCTGGTTTTAGGCGGACCGGAATTGTAGTTTGTGATCTGACATAGACAAGTGCAGTGTACTCTGCAAGCTATCTGTCACCCGGATAGGTTTCGGATCGCGGTGCCAGGCTACGACATGAAATAATCTAATGGGACACGGACTTCCCATTGCCACAGGACGGAGAAACACACATCCAGTCCCCCCAGTTCCAGTGCTTTCCTTTAGGTTTGCCGAGGTCGCGAGACTGACAAGTATGCCCATGCGGACAGGGCTCCAGAATGTGTAGGATCGACCCGCTGCCCTGCTCCTCCGTTCCCGAGCAGACACTCAAGAGGTCTTTGCCCTTGGGAAGCCACCCAGCCGCCTGATAGTCCTCTTCAGGCAATTAAGCAGTCGTGACGCTTTCCCTGTAAACGAAGTACCCCACACTCCGTTCAGCTCCAAGGCAAACCTGCACCCATAGAGCTGGCCTGCCCCTAAATTACCTAGGCCATGATCCGAACTGGAAAGCACTAAATCTGAACCGCGGGTTTCACTGGAACAGAGCGAAACACGG